CTTCCGATCTCAACGGACCAGGGAGAATTACTAGGAAATATCCAGGGCACATATCCCTGGCACATATCCCTTCCAGGTGATCTCCATGGACCACATTCCGTCTTTGCCAAAGTCGTTCAAAGGAAACACCGAACTGCCGATTTGGGCCGACTAGTTCACCGGTTACGTAATAGCCAAGGCTGGTCCGTCGAGAGAGGCGAAGACAGTGGCTGAGAATTTCGAGGAATGCGTCTTCCGTCGTTTCGGCGCAAGCGAAGTCATCAGACATGACCGGGAGCCTGGTTTTATGTCAGACTTCTTCCGTGCCTTCAACAGGATCGTGAAAATGAGACAGAGCACAACAATGGCTTACCGCCCACAAGGGAACGGCAAGGCTGAGCGAACAGTGCAAACTCTGACACGAGCCCTGAAGATGTACGTCGCAGACGTCAACCAACAACTGGGACGACTATGCAGAGCGGCTGACATTTGCGTTGAATACGGCACATGATTGAGTGAGGGGAGAAACGTCGTTCTTCCTAGTTTATGGTCGGTACCCGCGGTCGACACTTGAAGCAGTTGTTTCGGTGGGATCGACGCGTCGCTGCGACTGCGATGCACGGAGATGGAGGTATCACATACAGGGACAATACCGCAGAGCCAGGGAAGCAGTCAACGAGAGTCTACGTGATGCGATCAAGAGTCCAGGGCCGAACAGCCCAACGAAAACGTTAGACCACACATGATTGAAGAAGGCACACATGTATGGCTTTACCTGGATCGCGTAAACGAAGGCTACGCACGCAAGCTCGCACACATGTGGCATGGACTGTTCCGCGTCACCGAGCTGATCGGCAATCACGCAGCTCGTCTCGAGACTGCAGGCTCAGGGTATCGAATCTCCCCGATAGTACATCCGTCGAAACTGAAGCCAGTGCGGACATTCCCTGATCGGCCCAAGGTTGTTCTGAACACCGAAGACGATAATCGAGTAGATTTCGACGAAGAACTGCTGCCGGACGATAGCTGAGACGCTCCACTGGACGAAGACGAATTCGAGGTGGAACGGATCGCGGACGTACGGTCAGGGAGGGGCACCCGGTATGGGGGGGTGCACCCAGGTCTATTGGAAGGGCTATGACCAGCCGACATGGATGAATGAAGCCGACCTCGATTGTGCCGCTCTGTTGTACGAGTATGAGCGCGGACGTACCAGCCGCAACCGCTTCAACGTGATACAACCACACGAAGAAGGGATGAACGTTGAGTAAGTCACCGACGGGTGGAGATAGTATGTGGGGTGGCCACACACTGGGTGGAGAGGTATTTGTATGATGCGTAAAGACATCTGGCAACAACCGGGGCAAGAGAATGGAACATCGAAAGTTAGAAAGGAAGCCCAAGTGATGGATGACATTACGTACCCAGATGGATGGATCAAGATCGATGTCCAAGATCGATGATCGAAACTGATGATCGGGATCGATGATCAAGATCGACGATCGAAACTGACGATTGATGATTGAAGCTGATGATCGAGATGGATGATCGAGACTGGGTGATCGAGATCGAGGATCGAGACTGGATGATCAAGATCGAAGATCCAGGTTGGTTGATCGAGATCGAGGATCGAGGCTGGATGATCGAGGCTTGGTGATCGAGATCGAGGATCGAGGCTGGATGATCGAGACTGGGTGATCGAGATCGAGGATCGAGGCTGGATGATCGAGATCGAGGAACGAGATGGTTGATCGTGACCGATGATCGAGGTCTACGACCGTAAGTGATGATCGAGCCGATGATCGAAGAACCAGAAAACAGAATCCAGACATGGTGGCGTCGAGCTGAAGCAGAGAGCCGACAACCGCGCGAAAGTGTGGCCACTGCCGTGTAAGACGATGAGCAATAGAAGTGTCGAGGGCGAGACACCGTGAAGGAAGTAAGGCTTCATCGATGCGGTCAGCCAGACGATGACATGAGAGCATATGCAACTGCGAAAGCAAGAGAGGTTAGCCTCAAAGCGGAGAATGAACTAGCGCAACGCACATGGTACGAACCAGATCAAGACAAGTGTGGCTGAGAGACGCAGAGCACCGACTATGTTGATCAGCTTACCAGACACTGAAGCTACTCCTGAGGGATGAACTTGTCCTCAAGACGGAGAAGCTGGGAACCGGTGTGATTTTCAATAGCATGGCGGTACTGGTTACGCCAGGGGTCTTGGCGGTCAGCGTCACGAAGAGCTTGAAACAGGTTCGCGGGCCGTGGAGCGCAGTGTAGGCCGGGATACCATTTCGAGCGCTCTCCAGGGCGTGGAAAATGGAGGAAGACGGAATCCAGGAGAATGTCGAGGTCGCAGTGTCCAGCCACGATGCCCAGCAACACGAACTTAAGGAAGCTTTTCCAGGCAGCACCAAAACGCGACCGGCGCTGCCTGTGCGCCGCGTAGAGGATTACGAAGTACTTCACGGCCCGTCGTAAATCTTCCGAGATGGGAAAAGAATGGGTAAACTCCCACGCCGCCTGACGATGCTTCGCCTGCAACTCTTCTAATTTCCGCGACAAAGTCTGGAAGGGAGGACTGTCCCTCTTGAAGGAGATGGGCGTCACTGGCTTCGCAAGAATGCCCCATGGTGTGGAGGCGTAAACGGCTGAAACGTTGCCACGTCCAAGAATGCAGCGTCCCAATCGGAGTCGTCAGGCACTGGCTCTAGGCTCTGGCTTCGGAAATAGCCAGTTAGGAGGCTTAGAGAAACGGCTGCACAACATCGCAATGTCAAGTTCAAGGACGCTGATTTGCGAGACCTCCAACAGGGGCCAGGGAGCTACGTCAGCCACAGACACGATTACACGAGTGCGATAGCCTGGAACCCAGTGTGCGCGGTCAACGCAGGTCGGAGTAACTGGGTATAGGCGGCAGGAGTCAGCAACTCGTTGCGAGGCAAAAACTTGGAGACACTACTCGCATCGACGGCAACAGAATCGCGAACACTGTTACCACGAGTGGACGTCATGACTTGCTCGGCACCAACGGTACTGTCATCCGCGTCATCGGCGTCCAGGTCGATCGGACGGTCACGCGCGGTACCAGCAAGGTCAGACGAAGCAGGGGAGGCGACGAAGTGGGGAGACCAGATAGGGCGTGCATCACGGAGTCGTCACTCCCCGAGTCGGCATCACGGAGATGATCAGCGAGGTCGGACCGAGCATCGCCACGTCGGAGACGATTTAAGGACGGGTCGGAATGTGACTGGCATACGCCATCACGGCCGGCTGGCCGTAAACCGCGGAGAGTACTGGCGCCGTGACGTCCCGGAGAATCCGCACCAACGGACGCGTCATCTTGGTCACCGGAGAGATCGAGCTCCGGAGGAAGGTCGTTGGAGCGAGAAAACTCGTGCCGAGGCTTTGAGCGTGGAGGAGGCGTGGCGTCGTCAGGGTCTTGAACGGAACGACGCTTGCGACTGGTTCTAACCTGGGGGTGATCTCTCACGGAAGACGGATCGACGGCAGGAACATCAGCCACGGCAGGAGCGACCGGAGCAGGCTGTACCGAGGAGATTAAACCTGCGACTTGGGACCGCAGAGCGAGTAGACCGGCAGAAGCTTTGTCGCGTTCTTCCCCAGCGACGTAGCAAGCCGTCTCAGCCTCCAAGACACGGAGGCTTAACGCACCGTTCTCGCGGGAGATGTCCCCCACCTTCTGCTGAAGGACGCTAACTTGAACTTGGGGGAACTCCTCTTGATCGACGCGTGTCGCATCGGCGCCTTCTCCAACCTAACGACGTCGCCGTGGAGAGAAGCCGCCCGTAACGCTATGAGCAAAGAATCAAGATTAGCAAAGGCACAACGGTGGATCATTGTCAAACGTACCAAACGTTTGAGAAGCAGCGACGGCTTTGTCTCGGGCAATGGTGACCTCGTCCGGTTCGGAAGTGAGGCGACGGGTAGCAGCCTCAGCAACAGCAGCTGCGTTGCTGAACCAGTCCCGCTCTTCACAGGCACGCTGGTGGCGAGCTTGCGCACGACCAAGCCGAGACTCCAACTTGCTCACATGACGTTGGGGGTGGGCTTCAGAGTACTCCATCTTCTTCAGGTGAGCCTCGTGGGCGCGGATCGTGCTCTCGGGGCTGTGGATCGCGACACCCTAAGTGCGGAAGGCGTCACAAGCGTTGCGAAGGGCGACTCATAGTTGATCACACTCGTGGTGAAGAGCAGCAAAACGGCGAGCATCTGCAGGAGAAGACTGCATCGCGACGGCTCGAGCAGCGCTCAGTCGCGTCTTCAAGGTATCGATCTCCCGGTGAAGACGTTCCAGCTTCTCGATGTGGTCGCTGAGAGTCGTCTGCAAGCGAGCGCGCACGTTCAAGAGCTCCGCTGAGTCGTCACGACGATCTTGCAACTCGTCTAACGCCTCGCCAAGGTCCACCTGAGATCGATTACGATGGTTGAGCACTTGTTCTCGACGAATTCGACGAAGGGACGAGCGGCGGCGAAGTTGTCGTCTATCTCGTGCTCCAGTTCCCGCACACGCGCCCGCAGACCGCGATAGACCAGCTGCAGAGCGTGGTGGCCTTCGACCAGAGACTCCAATGCGTTGGCATGGTCTACCACGGCCGCGGGCTGAACCAGCGCACCGCGGACGAAAGCTACGTTCAGCACAGGAGGCACGAGAGATAACGTTGGCAACGCAGGCGACGGGAGCAATGCACGAGCTCGAGACCAAGGTGCTGAAGAACACAATGAAGAGAGTGAGCAAGATTGGCAAAAACCAGGAGAGGCACAAGCATATGCACCAGAAGTGGAGTCGGTAGTGGACGGGTGCGCGGTGGTGCTGGGCGCACCAGGCGCTGAAGAAGGTGCGGAGGATGCGGATGGCATGCCAGTTGATCAACGTCGGAATAATAGGATCCGGGATATGATGTGGCAGTTAGGGGCTTGCGTGCGAGTGAACCGCTGTACAGTTCCGTTGCACGCAGGGGGCGATTGACGTGGAGCGACCACGGAAAATCCGATCAAGTGTGACCAGGGGCCGGATGATCGATTGAAAGGCGAAGATGGGTGTAAGGCGTGTCGCACTTGGTGTGACGAACACCCCAGTTGACGTTGGCTGCGCAAGCCGAACCCTACCCTACACCTCGATCGTCGACCAACAAGAAGGACTTCGATCATCGATCAACAAGAGACGTCGATCAACGGACATCGATCAACAGGTGAAGAGTGGAAGCTCGCAGGCAGAATGGGCAAGGCTTATATGGGTACAAGGGTACCGTGTTTACGGCACATGTAGGTACAGCTCAGGACGAGTGGTTGTGGAGATAGGCTGGGGAAAGATAGGCAGACTTCTGAATATTCTTTGGACCTCTCACATTGGACCCCCTTTGCTTTAGTCACGTGGCATCCTATACCAGGCTGGGAACGTATATTGGCCCACCTGACGACCAAGGAACCACACCACTCTGCAGCAGAACAACTCGTCGACACCTACTAGGCTCGACCAAACACCCCCCC